CCATCAGGAGGAACATACAACTGTGGAGGTTCAGATCCCCAAGCCTAAAAAGACTAAGACTTCTTCCAAGAAGTCTTCATCTGTGTCTAAGGCTGCTGAACCTTTATTGGCCAAGAGGACAAGGTCTGCAGTGAAAAACAAACAAGTTAAAATTACTGAAGATGAGGAATGGAGTGGTGAAGAAGAGAGTGAGTCTGGTGGTGAACAAGACAAGCTAGCCAAGTTTGGAATAAGAAAATTTTGAAGGGAAGATTGCTGAAAGACTTGGTGGAACCAGGAATGGTTCGTTTGGTTGATGCACTAGCTGTTCAGGGCTGGAAGGACATGGTCCTTTAGATGGATGGAAGGCTAGCCAGGAATGAGATCATTGAATTCATGGCAAATGCAGAAGTCAAGGATGGCAGAGTCACCAGCCAAGTGAAAGGAGTTCAAGTGACCTTCGATGCAGAGAAGCTAGGAGAGATTCTTGACATCCCTGTTGAGGGATATGATGACTACACTAGGCAAAGATGGCCAAGTCTGGATTCCCTTCTTTCTGCCCTTGAAATCACTAGGAGATTCTGTGATGTTGAAGAAGTGAATGAGGTCAAGTTTGTGCACAAGATTGAAATGAAGCCACAACACAAAGTCCTCTTTGAGTTTGTCAACAAGTGCCTACTGCCCAGGCAGGAAAGAAGGCACATTGCTAACTATATGGACTTAGTTCTGATGGAGTGCCTTGAAAGTGGAAGGCAAATCAACTGTCCTGCATTCATCATCAAGCTACTGGACAGGGTTATCAATGGCTCCAAGGCCCATGCCATCCCATATGGATTTATTCTGACTACTGTTATGGATCGGTGCAAGGTGCCTCTGAAGAAGTGGGAAATGGCCACAAGCAAGGACCACTTTGGCATTAATACTCTGATTGCTTGTGACTATCTAGTAAATGCCATTCCCAATGAACCTGGTTCATCAAAGAAGACACCTGTCAACAGTAAAGTCAGGGCTCTAGTTCAGGAAAGTGGGACCAAGGATGCTGAGATAGATAGGTTGAAGGCTCGCTTAGCAGAGGTTGAATCTGAGAGGGATGCTCTCAGATCTGAGCTCACCAAGGAAAAGGAGAAGAATGATGGGATTCTTCAAAATATGTTGAACCTTCTCCAAGCCCAAAACCAACCCTCTAGCTCCTCCAAGCCTTAGAACTTCTAGCCTTCATCTCCTGAACCTGTCTAGTACCACAAGTGACCCAGATTAGGGATTTCTCTTTCTTTTTGCTTTCTGTTTGTGGATTGAGGTAGCAACATATCTTCTATTAATGATATCTACTATTTTTGCTCTTGTTCACTATTAATATTTCCTTGATAGTTTAAATATGTTTGCATGATTACTGATGATTGATCCATGATTGCACTTGCAGTTGCCCCAGTGGCCATGAGTAATTGTTAAAATTCTGGGACTCACACTTTGTTTATGCAACTTTTTGATGATGCCAAAAGGAGGAAGAGATATTGTGCTTTGAATATTCTGAATAAATGATGTTTATAACCTAATGAACCTGGTCCTTGATGATAAGTAAATTTTTCTAACTTTGTATTGATGAATAAGCTGAGTTCTGACAGGGCCTAAGTGAGTGAGAAGCACAGAGTTTGTCATCATCAAAAAGGGGGAATTTGTTGGCCCAAGTAAAGGTGAAGTTTTGAAGACTAACAAAGGAACTTAGACATGGACCAAGTCCATCTTGTGCAACACAGTTGTGATCAACTCAAACATGTGAGATGCACGTGAAGGAGATAAACCTAACTTATCAAAAGTGATATCTCCTGATCATGATCGAAAAGGTTGCATATTGGATAAGGAGAAAGACTCCTTACATAAAGAGGACATGGTTTAGGAAAAGGATAGAGTTAGAGTATGAGATCAACTAGAACTCTTCCACCATGGAAGAGTAGCGTCTATATCCTAGTCAATCTCTTATTGCTAACTCCTTAAATGTCAGTGTTGTTCTTTTTTACAGGAGTTGTACACAAGCAGAAGTTAAACGTGAATTGAGAGCAAAATAGCAATGCAATTTTTCAAGCAATTTATGTGTGATTCAAAGTTGTCGCAACAGTTGAGGTTGTGTGCCACAACGGGATTAGAGTTAGTCCTAGGTTTACAAAAAAGTTTTTGTAAATGCAGTTTTTGGCTCAGTGATTTTAGTGGAGAGTTTGGGAAAATCCTACTTGTAGGTAGGTCGTGGTTTTTTCACCTTTTGAGCCAGGTGTTTTCCACGTAAAATCTCTGTGTTCTTTATTTTCTGTAGTTATTATTCTGCAACAGTAGTAATTGGAACACATAGAAGAACCAGGTCCTTCTATAATCAAGTTAAGCGAAAATTGGGTACCACACAAATCACCCCCCCCCCTCTTGTGTGGTATTGACGTATAAAACATCACTCACCATAAGAAACAATAGAAACGGCACGGCATCCCCCTTCATGCATTAACTCTCATAATTATATTACGACATCACTCTTCGTGCATTAACACTCAAATCATGGCATGGCATCACCCTTCGTGCATTAACACTCACAAGTATGACACGGCATCACCCTTCGTGCATTAACACTCACTCACAATATCGTGCACGGCATCACCCTTCGTGCTTTACACTCTTCCTCACCCAAACAATAGAAACAATAACATCCCGGCAAGGGAATCAACAATAACCAAGCTCATTTCAACAGTTAACTCCACAATTTAAGTCTCAACTTGAGTCAATACTCAACAATTATCCAATACCAAGAAAAATATCATAGGACTTGTTCAACATGGAAAATCATCAGTTTAAGCATGAACAATACGTAATAAGAGACATAACGGTCACAGTATAAGACTCACTTGCATGCTCAACATCGACGTATTGATACTCGTCACCACACCTATACGTCGTATTCAACACTAACACGTAGCAAATAAGATAACAACACTTATTCCCTCAAGCTAAGGTTAGACCAAACACTTACCTCGATTCCACGGCCAAACATAAGCCTCGAATACTGCTTTTCCTTTGATTTCCACTTCCAAACCTCCCGAATCTATGCATAATTAATGAATTAAGATCAATGAACGCTAAATAAACCAATTATAATGTATGAGTATAGATTTTCCAATGTTTTCCCCAAAAAATCAAAAACCGACCCCGGGTCCGCTTGGTCAAAACTCAAAGTTCGAACTAAAATCCGAGTACCCATTCACCCATGAGTACAAATATGTAATTGGTTTTGAAACCCGACCTCAATTTGAGGTCTAAATTCCCAAATTCCGAAATTCATAAATTCTACCCAAGAACACCTAATTTCCCATGAAAAACCTTAGATTGTGAGATGAAATCATGTAAAAAGATGAAATAGGTTGAAGAAAGTGAGTTAGAAATCGTTTACCTATGATTTGGGGAAGAACTTTCCTTTGGAAAAGCGCCTATGGGAGCTTAGGGTTTGAAAATTTGGGAAATGAGTTCAAAATCCCGTCTAAGACATGTTTTGATCAGTTGCAGATGTCGCATTTGCGACAGGAGCTTCGCAATTGCGAAACTCGCAAATGCGAGACAGGCTTCGCAAATGCGAACCTGCTGCATGTCTGCTACTATCGCAATTGCGAACCTTTGGTCGGAATTGCGAAGGTTGCCCCTCCCTGATGACTTCGCAAATGCGAAGGTATGTTCGCAAATGCGAACTATGCTGGCCCAGGGCTTCTTCGCAGTTGCTAAGCCTGTGAAGCTCCCAAATGCGAAGCCTGATCACGCAATTGCGAGATCAGAGGCCTGTAACAAATACCAGTTGCAACAGCAGATTTTCTAAGTCCAAACTTACTCCGTGGCGTACCCAAAACTTACCCAAGCCCTCGGGCTCTAAATCAAACATGCATACAAGTCTAAAAACATCATACGGACTTGCTCGTGCGATCAAATCGCTAAAATAACATCTTAAACAATGAATTTAACACCAAAACTCATGATTTTCTTAAGAACACTTGAAATTTTTATTTTCTCAATCGGACGTCCGAATCACGTCAGATCACTTTCGATTCTCACCAAATTTCACAGATACGACTTAAATACCATATCAAACCTTATCGGGCTCCGGAACAAAATTACGGGCCCGATACAAAAGAGATCACACACTATTCCATTTCTAAAAATCCTTATATTTTCCAGCAAATAATTTTCTTCAAAAATTTATTTCTCGAGCTAGGGACCTCGGAATTCGATTTCGGGCATACGCCCAAGTCCCATATTTTACTACGGACCCTACGGGACCGTCAAATTACGGGTCCGGGTCCGTTTATTATAAATATTGACCAAAGTCAACTTTAATCAATTTAAAAGGCAAAATTCAATAATTTTCTTAGATTTCACATAAAGGCTTTTCGGAAACGCGCTCGGACTGTGCACACTAACCGAAGAGAAAGAAAATAAGGTTTTCAAGGCCTCGGAACCCAGATTTGAATTCTAAAATAAAAGATGACCCTTTGGGTCATCACATGGGGTGTTCTTATGTACTCTATACATCAGTGATTTTTATTTTGATCTTTACGTTTTACCCGCAAATTTAAATTTCAGGCATTAATGATTAATTTCCAAAGCTATATATATTATAAACATGATGACTATAGTTGAGCTATTAGTAGACGAAAGTGTAATCCCTGAACCATATCAATTGGTGGACGACCTTGAACAATCTCTAAAGTTTATTAAGGATATTGTGTAGAGAGAGGTCTTTTCTATGAATAAAAAATGTTTGACAAGAAAACATATCCTTAGTTTGCTCTTCTGGTTTTATAGCTCAAATATTACAATTCTTATTTTTTTAATTTTGTACAGTCAAAATCTCTCTATAACAGCTTCGTTTGTTCCGACATTTTTTGGCTGCTATAATAAAGTGTTGAATTGGTTCCAAAGAGGAATTGAATATTATAGTGAAATATTATTATAGAGTATTGTTGTTATAGAGATGTGTGATTGTATTACAAAGAATACAATTAGACCAAATATATATAGTATTTTCTTTATATCTTATAAATAATTAGGAAAGATCTTATTGACAATAATATGGTACACAAGCACAATGCTTATCAACGCCACAACAATATCAACCAAATATAATATTTTGAGCAATAAGTGGTACATATGATAAATGCATGAATCATCAAATAAGGACCAAATCATACGATTAATTGAGGAGTTCTTTAATGTGTAAGCTAGTCAACTTTGGTTCTCCATTTTGAGAGGGCAGCCTCTTTGATAAGCCTGAATGACTCAAGGTTTGGGTCTGGAATTATTCCTTCATCAACTGCTACAGCAAATGTTAACTTCTTGGCATAACTACACCCATGAACCATTAGCCCCTATAATATAATATGCATTTGAATTTAGCGAATGTTGACTTGAGTAGTTTTGTTTTTCAATTATATAACTGATCTCAACTAGTTTGTGATTCAAAAACGGTTGCTTGATTGATGGAACAAACTTACAGTGGGTTGTCCATAACATGTTGGCGCAAGGAATGTCAATGGGTGGCCTGAGCAAGAAACTTCTTCTGGCGGACCGGCTACATTTGAAAAGATTAGTGTTGTTTGAGATAGAACTCTTGCAGCAAGAGTTGTCGCACCCTATGTGTGAAGAAATAATTAAGCAAAACATGAGTTAGGTCTAGATTTCAAGTTTCAACGACAATTAAAAGCATCTCTATTTTGCTTGATAATTTTAGTGCTTTTTCACTTTTAGCTCGTGCCAGACATTATTTATATTCGGTAGCCGAAAAAGTATATAAAATTTGTATAATTTTTGTATATAACATGTATATATATACACACACACACAGAATATATAATTTTTTTAGCTATTATTTTGAGAGCGGCTATATAATGTTATTTTTCCATAATTTTTTTTTAGATGTAAAGAGAGAGAATGGAGTACTACCTCAAATCCAAATAACTTAATTAAGAGTTGTGAGAAATAAAAGGTGCACCGAGACTCAAGAGAATGCTTCTTTCGATCCATTGTTGTCTTAGCTTTGAGAACATAGTCGAGAGGATTATCTAATTGTGATATAGATAAGGGAATTATTACAAAGCCAAAACAATTTCCTTGTATCACTATAGCATTCTTCTCAATCATTTCAGCTACAGTCTGCCATAATAATCATGTGAAATCAATTGATAATTAGGCAGATATGTTTGCCACAGTAATAACACAGTAATCAATCTTTAAGCAAAATATTACTGCATCAATATCTTGTGAATACTAGTTATAAGTAACCTTGGATGATTTTTGGTTTTACATTCGGTAGATGAAGAAATACTTACTTGGACTCCTAAAGCTGGTCTCAGATTCACTACAACATTGGCTCTGCATCTCATTTTTTGTGGTGAAAACTTCCTCTTCCCTTCAATTTCTTGATATGGTCATGTTAAGAATAAACACAATAAAAACTTTAACCAGCATGGTTTAAAGCAAACTTTACGTCATTGTTACACACAACCACAAATATATGACTTTTATACCCCCAAAAAAAAAAATATGACTCTCAATTTTAATTCCTTAGCCAAAAGAAAGAAAAAGAGTAATTCCTTTGCGAAAGGAACCATATGAGTCGCACCTAACATGATTAATTCATGGATTATGAGGGCAAGAGATTTCTATTTCTATTAATTATATTCGCTTGTTTCCTTGGTTGATGTTCCTGATGAAACACCTATATGCCCTTAATAGTATGTTATTGTCGTATTTTCATGTAAAAATTCGGTAGCAAATTTCTTTACAAGTACATAATGAGGAGTTTAATTACCGTATCTTCGATGGATATAACGAGACAGAGCTGCTTGTGTTATCCCCAGTATAACATCATTAACAGTCTAAATTCACAATAGCAAAAAGAAAGAAGAGCTTAAGTCAGATAAAGGCAAAAACAGTGAAACAAAGTTCAAATTAGCATCAACGAGAAGATAGAGAATACCCACAAATCCAGCCCATCTGAAGGAAAATTCTCCTAGACAAGTGTGTTTTTGGTATGAAGAAATTTAATTTCTTGTTTGAAAAATACTTTTTCATTAAAAAGTCATTTTTCAGAGTTTAGTTAGCAGAAAATATTTTTCTATCAGATATGTAGAATTTTTATGATACTAAATTATTAATCTTAGGGGGGGAAAGTACAATTAATGCCTTAATGGCCTACACAAGATTTCATGCAAGCAAATATCTCTGGCTATGGTTACAATTCGATTAGTAATTAAGTCGGTTTGGATCTAGGACTATTAAGTATGTTGATCAAATTTAATACCCAAATCTGATCTGATCTGATCTGGACCCCTATATAGTTGCTAATTAACATTGCATGCATGTAGACTACATGCATGTAGGGTGGAGGGGTGGTGCAGAAAAAACGGAAAAATAGAAAATAGGAAATACAATAAAAAAGAAAGTAAAATTGGGCAACTAAGTAAATTTCTAGATAAGTTGGATTGAGATCTCTTTGTTTTGGGTGAGCTTTATGGGTTGTATTTGGGCTACTTCATGGTTCAGAATGGGTTATAAAAAATAATGGGTTAACTTGGGCTCAACCCAAATAGACCCATGAGCTAAAATGTTTGTATCCCAACTCATTCATCTCTGGACGGGTTGGATGAGTTTGGGCTCAAATTGCCACCCATGCATGTAGTGGGGGAAGTGCGCGGTTGGCCACTAATAACACATGTTTATTTTTAAGCCACCGTTTAAAATGTCTTTAGTCTTTAGCCACTGCTTTAATAAACTTTAACTTCCCGGACGAAAATACCCTTCTGCTCATGTCCTTAACTTTTGTACTTAACTTCAGGACTTCAGGACTACATGTCCTTAACTTTTGAACTTGGAACTCTAAGTTCAGGACTTCAAGACTACATGTCCTTAACTTTTGAACTTGTAACTCTAAGTTCAAGACTTCAAGGCTACATGTCCTTAACTTTTGAACTTGGAACTCAAACTTCAAGACCAAGCGTCCTTAACTTTTGAACTTGTAAATCAAAGTTAAGGACCTATTGTCCTTAACTATTGAACTTGTAACTGTAAGTTAAGGACTGCTTGTCCTTAACTTTTGAACGTGTAACTGTAAGTTAAGGACTGTTTGTCCTTAACTTTTGAACTTGGAAATCAAAGTTAAGGACCTATTGTCCTTAACTTTTGAACTTGTAACTGTAAGTTAAGGACTGCTTGTCCTTAACTTTTGAACTTGTAACTATAAGTTAAGGACTACCTGTCCTTAACTTTAGAACTTGTAACTGTAAGTTAAGGACTGCATGTCCTTAACTTTTGAACTTGTGTCCTTAACTATTGAACTTAACTTTAGGAATTCAGGACTACATTTCCTTAACTTTTGAACTTGAAACTGTAAGTTCAGGACCATGTCCTTAACTTTAGGACTTCAGGACTACATGTCCTTAACACAATTATCTTTGTCCTCAACTTTTTGGCTTTTTACCATATTTTTCCTAATTATCTGTTGTTTAAGAAAATCTAAAAGTCACTTCTTTTGAAACCAAAGTCACGTCCTCCCACGTTGTGATTATTATGAGTGAAATCAAGCAATTCAACTCCTGAAAGCAGACACAAAAGAAAATGAGAGGCTCTAAAAGCAGTAATGAATTCGAAACCATTAATCCCATTTTCTTTGTTTTCTCTATCAAATGGTCAGCTCCTTCTCGTTCTCTTCTGACTTTTGAGAGAGATTTTTTTTTCCTCCTTTTTCTCTGGATCTCACTCTTTTCCACTGTCTTAAATGATGTGTTTGAGATTTGGGACACAATTGATGTCCGAGAGGATGATCAGTAGCTAATGTTGTCAGGGGGTCTTTCTCAAGTTCGATGCAAAGAGAGAAGCGAGGGTTTGGGAAGAAAGGCAATGGAAGAAAGGGTCAAAATGTCTTTTTATATTAATTTTAATAAAGTAGTGGCTATTTTTGCTCAACATTAGAATTGCTGGATAAAAAATAAATACCACCTTAAATAGTGGCTACCCCACGCCATTTCTACGCATGTAGTTCAAATCCATATCAAGCTAAGGAACTACAAGAAAACGATATTTTCCGTCCTACTTCAATAAAAAGAGAATATTAAAAGCAATCACGAGATAAAATAAAGTTTCCCAAACAAGAGATTAAATCCATGAAAAGGGATTAATGTTATCCATCCTTGGATTTTAGGTTTATATTAATATAGTATACTTACGGAGTTTGTTGAATTCTTTATGAATTTAATGTCGTCCAAGCTAATAGTCCGATAGATAAATCTCAAACGAGTAGACAACTTAAATCCTTGTGGAACTGTGAAAGGTGACTGAGAGTCTTTCAAGAAGAGAGCAGTCGCTACAAACAACAAAACATCAATAATTGTATTGAACAAAAGTCTGATGCACCACCACAACTTTACGAGGCACTGCCATATCAAAGACCGAATACTTCTTCTGTTGTTTGACAAATTTGATTTGCCCTTGGAAGATGAAGAAGAAGAAACGAGGAGTGTGGGCAAAGAAGTAGGATCCGAGGTTTTCCGAAAACAAGAGAGTAAAAGCGAAATGAGGGAAACTCCATCCCCAAGAGAATGATGAAAACGGAAAATACAAGTAGCATCTGCATGGGAGGTTTTCACGTTAAGGATGTGAAGATCCCATAGAGGTTTCGACATGTCTATAGTGGTCGTGCTTAGGTTTGATATGTATTCTTCTACTAATTTGTCTGCTAAGTGGGAATCCATATTATTGGGGATTGATTTAAGGTCAGGGACTGTAATATGATCATCTATATTGACTGTCGTGGGAACCCATTTCATCTTTCGGCTGTCATCACTTTCATCTACAGCCTGTTGATGTTACAACACAAACTAAGAGGATCAGATTTTATTCAAACCTTGGATAGAGTTTACACTACCGTGATATTAAACGTAATTACGAGAAATTGTCTATATATGAAATGTGAGTTGTTAGTCTAATCAATTAACTTGCTACTATAATCAATTGATAGTGTAAAAGCTGTTATACATATAACTTTATATAAATTAAGTGCCAAAGGCCCAAAACTATATGAGATATGGAATATTTCTCAATAAACCTAAGCTGGCTAAGACAACCTAGTGGGCTAGTCATTGACTTCGTAATTACAGTGCTTACCAATTTTGTATCCAGGACCTTCCAGGCTATATAGTATTAGTGGAGCAAATTTTATCATTTCAAATTATGCTATGCCTAGTTACTTATTACCCAATATATATCTCACACACCTTTTTCTATATGTTTGTACCTTATTATTAGTTCTAACAGTACACTAATAGCTATTACTTAATCTAAATGGAACATTGAGTTAATTAATTACCTGCAAACTCGAAAACCGCGGATGTTTAAGCAACTTGCCTTGTATTTCAGCTTTCATGGCGTCAACATTAAGTGGTATTTTCCAACCCATGATTGCTAAGGTGTAAACATTGTAGTTTGGTTCATGAAACATTCTAGAAGTTGGACTCATGAGTAATGCTTCAGGTTCTTCTTCATTTTCATCTAATTTCTTTGTTGTTCGTACAGGTTCCATGAGAACCATCTTGTTTTCATCACGCTCCATATCTTGGAACAAATATTAAGTGATGATGACTTATTTATCTACGAATTTAAGCAAATATTGCTGATAAAAGGCTCCTATTATATAGAGAAGAACGAAAGCTTTATTGGGTGCACACAAGAGTAGATACATTTCAACCGTACGAGGAAGCTTTCATCATTGAAAGCACACAACTGTCTTGATTATCTAGTTTTGGAAGTCTAGACAGAGTAGTTTAGACTACTTTTAGTGAAATGTATAAAGGGGTACTGACTTCACTCACATGAAGAATGGAATTAGTTATTGTCAAATTGACAGCTATCTATAAGCTACCTATTCTATTTACGAAAAAGGGCCTAAACTACCCGACTGGACTTGGTACAAATATATTTTTAGTCCACCTATTAAGTTAAATACGAGTCCGGAACCAAAATGTTGTTCTTTTGGACTCAAAGAGCCAAAATGTGTAGAAAAAAAACATGGTGACCAATTTATATATAGCGTCTTTTTAAAAGACGCTACACTTTAACGGCCGTTTGGCTAGTTAAGTATAGTATCTTTTAAAAAGACGCTATATAATATAACGTTCTTTATTAAGACGCTATATATGTTATGTGAGCCCACAAATAATTCTATGGGCTTAACTGACATAACAATAATTCAACTGGGTATAGCGCCTTAAGCTAAGACGCTATACCTGAAAAAATTAAACCCCCGGACTGATTTTTGGCTTATTTAAAGACGTTAAGGATTTTGTAAAAATCCATTCAGAAATATTCTCAAGTCTTCTGAAATTTTCTTTGTTAAGTTGTTTTGTATTTTGTCATAATGTCTGAAGAGCGAAGAAATAGGGTTTCATTATATTGGGGGTGGGGGGGTGAGGTTGTGGTGGCGAATAACTCAGTAAGCTATAGTTTATCTCCACATTGTCATGTTAAGGTTCTACTTACAATGGAGTACGAACATTGGTATCGTTGTTATGTAAAAAAAAAAATGAGTGTGAGCAAACGTTCGGTGAATATTAAAGTAACCGGAAGATATCCATATTCTGTGACTCCGCAAGGGGTTGCTTGTTATGCTGAGTTTAACATCGAAGACGATGAAACTTTGAGAGATTTTTTGAGAACTCCGGATGAATGCCGGGAATTTGTTGTGATAAAACTGTTGAAAATATAATGTACGTCAAGGCTGAAGACGTTCGCAATAATGAGGTTGCGCAAAGTAGGAATATCCCTCAATCATCAGGTGGTTATTTTGGAGCAGTTTTATTCGAACAGGTTCCGGCTGAAAGAGTTTGGCCGGATCTAAATGTATCTCCACGGGTAAGGGTGGGCATAGTTTGGGCAAATTCGAAATTCAAACTGAAATCTGAATTTTTTGGATTGGATTTGGATTGTCATTTCTTCAATCCGAAAATCGAAAATTCAAATCGAAATTCTCATATCCAATCCGAACTGCCCGAACGCCCACCCTATCCACGGGCGAATGAGGAGCGAGGAAATAATTAGTTTATTATTGTATATGTTAGTTTATTAATTTATATGCTGATTTTATTATTTTATATGTTTGTTTGTTACTCACTTATTTTTTACTATAATAAAATTAAATAATTATTTTTCATAACTATACACGATTTAATTATTAAATATTCATATAACAATACTTAGTTTGAAAAATATTGTTGTTTTCTCGTGTTATTTTCTTACGTTTGTTGACTATAATTGGATATAGTTTGTGTTTGAACTATTAGCTTTTTGACGTGCTTTTGGGTATAAGAGATACTTAAATGATTAATTTCTCTAACTACAGGAATATTACGCTAAAGGGCACTACGTTTTGCTACGCTAAAAGGGCACTACATTACAAATACGAGCACCACATTAGGCCATAAGATACCACTACAGGGAACTAAAGTAACAATTTATCTAGTTTACTAGCCTTTTAGCAAATAAATTATCTAAATCGGATAAAAATAATAAATCAATTTAATCACAAAACAAGCACGAAAATACATATACCACAATAAAAAGTAACTAATTAACATTGTTTTAACAACTAATAACAATTTCTCTATTTTATTATTTTTTTAGCACGCTAATACTATAGTCCGGATAAAAAATAACAAATTAGTTAAATCGCTAAACAATCACAAAATACCATAGAGCACATAAAAAATAACTAATATGCATATTTTATACGAGTTTTAACAAGAACTATGTCGGGATACCTCGATTTAAAATTTTTGGAAAATTGATAATTTGGTAATTTGGAGCCGAAACAAGCAACCCACTCCGAGATAACGCCTTAGCTAGCACGTGGATCAAGAATCTACACTTTTTCTGGGTCCGGTGGGCTCCACTCGAGGTTTTTTTAATTAAAATGG